ACATAAAATAAAATCTATTCTTCTTGCTTCTATATACAAATTGTGTAAGCTAAAAAAGTTAAGTCATGTCTTTTAAATAAACGCGTGTAGTGTCCGAGAAGGCAGTTTATTATATATAATGACTTGACAGACTTAGAATTGCTGTATCTAATAAATTCAAATTATAAATATTGTATCTAAAAATTATATTATACGAAGCGTAATTATCAAAATTATTAAATAATATATAGGATTTAATTATTTTTTTTTCACTTTAACGATGCTAATAATTATAAAATAGTTGTGAAAGTTGAAAAGCATCTTAATAAAACCAAGAATGCCTGAATTAAGCCCCATAAAAACGGAATCCAAACTGACATTGGGAAATCTCCAGAACTGTATAATGCAGCCAAAACATATCCTATATAAAATATGTATATTGATTATTGAAATATTAATTTTAATTATCATGGTAAAACAAGAAATAAGAATATATTAATTTTATATATACCAATAATCGTACCACCAACAAATCCCGTTATTAACGCAACAAAAAGGAATCCGACCGGAATCAAAAATGACCATCGATATTTATGAAACACAATACAAGCAAATATTCCTGCGAAAACATATATGATCACAAAAAATATTATGGTCCATATAGTAGTATACCAACGAATATCTATCAATTATGAAAAAAAAAACATCACATAAATGTGCGTAAATTATTAAACAAAAAAAAAAAAAAACTGAAAATGAAAAACTAACCATTTTCTTTATACAAGTATTTCGCTGAACTTGAATCAAAAGGCCAATAAAGCGAATACCATTCAGGAGATGTATAGTTTAAAGGAATGTACGATACATCGAAATTACTCATCGTCAATATTTCATTATAACATGAAGTGAAAGTATTTCACAATGATTTTTATACATAAAAGTAATAAAGATGCAATAAATGATTGGCTTGAAAATATCGATATATCCTCGTAATTGCAGAGTCTACGTAACACTCGTAATACTAACTAATACTGTAATATGTAAATAGTTATTATGTTGACCGAGAGTAATTTCACATATAATCGGAGCACAAATTTCTTTACTCGGAGAAAACAAAATCTCTTTCGAGATATCTATCTCCTTTTATTGAAATAATTTTCGTATCTTTGCATCAAACAATATGAAAAAGGAATTACATTCATCTTTAGGACTTGTACTATTCTATTTTAATCTAAAATTAGAAAAAGTTATTTTTGGATTCTAGAGATTACTATATATTAGATAATATGTATAATTACATAAATAGTAAGGACTGGATAAAAAAAACTAATATATGGTGCGATATATCGATATGGGCTAGTGTTACAAATCGAAAGTTGAAAAAATCGATTAGTTGGTTAATTGACAACTAATCGATTGAACTTTTTAGACACCAACTAATCGATTAATCCATTAATCGACTAATCGATTAGTTGCAACTAATCGACTAAAGAATTAATTGATTGTTGCAAATGAATCGATTGAAAAATTATTTATTGCGGTTTGCAAAATTATGTGAAATTTGAAAATCATTAAAAAAAAAAGTAATCACTGATTTCCGATTACTGATTTCCGATTTCTTCAACATTTTTTTTTGACTTTTAGACTTGACAAAATTTGCGCATTTATTATTTGTAAAAA